CGGCGAAGGCACCGACCGCGAATAGCAGCAGAGGAAGCGGCGCTACTAGGGCAAGCAGGCCGAGTGTGAAGAGGGCAAAACGCACTCACCTCGCAACAGTGAGGAAGGAGTTCCGTTGCCGCTGCGAGAACTTCTTGCTGTCGGCCGCGGCGCCGACCTGCTCTCGTCGCTGCTGCTGCTGCTGATAATCGGCGTCATGGTTGGCCTGGTGATAACAGCACGTGCTCTGCTGCTCGTAACCACTGCCCTGTGGCGACAGCCTTCGCTCGCTGCTGCTGCTGCTGCTGCTGTGGCGCAGGGCGTCACTGTGCTGGCCGCAATGGCGCCAATTTGCAGCTTGCTGCTCATCCAGCCTTATTACCAGTGCTGCTGCTGCTGCTGCCCTGCTCACTGCTCTTCGGACACTGTGCTGTGCTGCGGCGTTCCGTCCAGCGCCAGAAAAATAAAAACTGCTCTCGGATGGTCGGCCCTGCGCCTCGGTGTAAACGCCTTAAAAATATCTGCCATTCAAGCGAGCACGCTCCTTTGGGACACATCAGCAGTTCGCTACGGCAAGCAGACCCCCAAGAATGGGTGCACGAGTACAACTAGGGATGTTGGTGAAAGACGCGGGCCCAGCCGAAGCTCGCGAGCATCATCCGGGAGAGGAGAGGGGCGGGGAACGAAGGCGAGGAAGCGAGCCACAAAAAACAAACCAAAAAACAAACAATAAATAAGCACCAGAAACATCACTCGATGACCGCAAAAACAGTGGCTTTCTCTGAGTGCGCTTGCACCCAGCATGCCTCCGATCCTCGCAACCCAAACAGCCCATCATGAAATGATGGCTCGCTGATGAACCAGTGCCCGCTTTGGGTTGGCATGCTGGCCACGTGGCGCCACGCTTCCGCTGATCAACGCCCGCTCCGCAGTGTGACAACCAGCCCCCTCCCTCCCACCATTCGTTCTTTCGTTTGAGTTGATGCAACAGTGAACCTGCCACCAGCTGCTTGGCAGCGAACCTCACAACATGCGCCATCTTGTCAGCGT